GTTCCCCCCCCCCCAGCCGCCCGGGGTGGGGGGGGAGGGTGAGCAAGCGGCTGTGTGGGGCTTAGTTGCCGACTGGGGTTAAACCACGACAATCGTTTATTGGGCTTTGACGTTTTAGTTTAAGGAATTTTTCAACTTTAAAAAATGTCAGTTATTCAGGCACTGCATGTTGTCCTTCCCATAAACTTAAAGGACTTATCCCCAAATGCGACTTTACCTAAAAGAAATTGATTAAAAAAATTGTGTATTTCCTGGTGTTTCTATTTCTCGGTTCTGTATAAGAGGGAGAAGCACTTACACTGTTTTACAGACAACTTCTGTAGCTGTTTGTTCTCTTCCTTCTATACTTAACTTTAGAAGGATAAATGCTTTCAATATTTTTCTGAAAAAGCTACAGAAATACGTACTTCTGTAAGAGTCAACAAATATCGGAGTAATATGAACTTGCACAAGTAATTCCGTATGTACTGCAAATTGTAAAGGGAAATGCATTGCAAACTTTGCTCTCGCTGTCTTTTTTTTTTTCCTTTCTAGCCTCCCAGCTGAGAGACTGAAAGTGCTGGCCTGCCTGAACAAACTGAGACAGCAGCACGTGGACATAATGAAGGTAGCCCCAGCGCCCCGTCGGGAGGACACCGCTTCCAGGGCCCTGCTGGCGCTTTGCAGCGCTGTCTGTCTCGCTGTCTCTCTGCCTCCTCTCCTTTTGGCTTGGTGGTGCCAGCTGGTGCTGCGGTGGTGTCTTTCCTTTGCAGAGCAGCAAGCTCCGAGCCCTTCTCCTTCATAGTGGGTGGTCTTTGAAAAACCACATTTACCAGAAGAATTGTTAAAATCATCAGCTAAGAGCTTGATGTGGGCACCTGGCGGTTGTGAGAGATTGAATGAGCAGATGAGGTGTTTGAAATGTGTTGAGAAGCTCCCCTCTCACATCTCCCTGTGTAGAGGATCCCCCCCCTTTTTTTTTTCTTAGTTTAGCCCCAGGCCTGGGTTGACAGACTCCTTCTCACTTCCACTGTTTGCCATGTCCAGCCGTTTCTCACAGTGGTGTATGTTGGTTTAACTCCGGCCAGGGCTGCACGCGTTCCTTAGTAGTCTGCACATCTGCTAGAGCCCTGTCAGCTCAGTGACCGAGAGTAGAGAGAACACAGGAAAACCTTATTTGCCTTAATATTTTACAAAGATATGTGTGTGATGAAATGGTTTTATCTGCTGTTTTGAGGCAAGGATTAAATGTGTGTGTTTATCTTCTCTAGTAAGTCACTGTAGTTACTCAGATGTCTCTTAAAATGCATGCTAAGGGATGATCAGGGAGTACTTCTTTCATATTTCAGTTATCTTAGGTTTTGCATTTTGTGTTATGAAAAAGGTAAGAATCATAATTTTCACTCTGCAAAATTTCACTTGATTTTAAAAAACATGAACAATGTCAAATCAAACACTTCATGTCTGAGATATCCAATTATTGCAGTATCCCGCTTTAACTGGAATAGCAGATTAATAGAGAGAGTGGTTTTCTCAAGTGTTAAGTTTTGGAATTACACAGGTGCAGATAACATTCTTAGAGATTTTTACTTAATTCCCTTGCCCTCTGAAATATGCAGCTTTGTCTTTTTTGATGTCATGCTTAAGTAGTTCTCCAAAATAAATCTTGATATAGGGTAGGCAGGATATGGCTGGGGGGGGGGGGGAAAAAAAAAAACCACCAAATACTGACCATTCTAGATATCCTTTACCTTGGTGCCCGTTTCTTTTCAAAGTCAAATTTAAATGTTAATTAAACTATTGTTTGGCTTTTGTAGGTTTTTAACGATCCAATTCATGGGGACCTCTCCCACCAAATACCTGACCATTCTAGATATCCTTTACCTTGGTGCCCGTTTCTTTTCAAAGTCAAATTTTAAATGTTAATTAAACTATTGTTTGGCTTTTGTAGGTTTTTAACGATCCAATTCATGGGCACATTGAAATACATCCCCTTCTTGTTCGTATCATCGACACACCTCAGTTTCAGCGCCTCAGATACATTAAGCAGCTGGGTGGCACTTACTTCGTTTTTCCAGGAGCCTCTCACAACCGCTTTGAACACTCTATAGGGTAAGGTGATGTTGTCTTGCATGCACATCTCTTGCATTTGGATTTCCCCGAGTTTGGTTCTGCTAACGTGGAGTGCCAGCCAAGGGGCATCGCTGTCTTTGAGCATTGGTAAAACTGCTATGGTGGCATTGTTGGTCTCTCAAATGTTCCTCGATATCCTGTGTGATTATGGGCTGTTCCCTTGAACTTGATTTAATAAAGACAGATAAAGAAACCTACAAGGTGGATCAATGTTAGATTTCCTCCCCTGGCCCTTCTTCTTCTAATGATAATGTTAATTAAAAACTGTGAGTGCTTTATGTTCTCCCTGGTCAAAATTTGAGTTTTAAAGCATAAACCTGGGAAGGGTACCAGGGCTGCTATAAATGACTTGCCAGACAGTTGTGATCCCCCTATATTGTCCAGCACAGCTAAAACCCATTTTATCTGTAATATTTGCATTTGTAGTTACGTGTGCTTTATGCAATCGATGGCAGATTGTCAGGCTGTTAGCTGTAATATAAGTTAAACAAAAACAGACGATGGACACAAGGATTCCCAGAGTGTGGCTAGGTCATTCACACTCCACAGAGAAGCTGATTAATGACAGATTTAAGCTTGTTTTAAAGGTATATGCCAAGGTGCAGAGAAATTGAACTAGTCAATGGTTTTTATTCAGGTGATCTGGCCAGCCTAAAGTTGCTTTTGTTAGTGCTGAAATATTGTGAAGTAAGTCTGGTTTCTGCCCCTGCTCCGTGACACTAACAAGACGCAAATGGCTATTGCAAAAGTGTCAAATCAGTGAGGCAAGCTGGAATTGATTGCATCTGGTAAACCTGAAAAGACAAAAATGTGGGGAATATAACCAAAGCTTTCACCACAGGAGTCTGAAAACTCCAGTGGTATTAACAACCTTTTCTTCTAAACAGTTCAATTAATCTATATAGTTAAACTTAGGACAGTTGTTCTCAATCTGTATATCATTTTAAAGATTTCTACAGTGTTAAAATAGAAGAAGTGAGCTTTGTGTGCTTATTGGTCTAGTAAAAAAACACCAAACAGTAAAGTCTGGTCTAATAAAAGCTACTACCTCGTCATATAAAACCTTGTCTTCTTTTAAGATGTTCTGCAAGGGGGACTATTGAGGCAAGTAGAAAAGGAAGTTGGTGTAGAGCTTGTAAACAGTTTATAGGAGTATGTGCCGTATGTTCATTTCTGCTGTTTTTGTATCACGAGAACAGAGGGTCCCATTCAGTGAAATTAAATGTCAAATCTAAAATGAATGAAAGGAAGGGAAATAATTGTCATAAGCTACTGTTAAAATAGCCATTTGAAAGAAGAACAAAATGCTTTGGTGACTGTTGTGGGCCTTTGCAGTTGCACTGACTGGAAGTCAAAGGATGATGTGTAAGCTGTGGTGCTTCAAGATGCACACTGTCAATAACGCACTGCTGTTTGCTTACACAGTTACTCCGTGATTGTGCATTACGAAATACTGCAGGATGCTGTTGTCACCATGTTTTGGGCATGGTATCTCATGCTTTTCTGCTTTCAAATGTGTTACTGATGACTAAAACTCTGCTACAGGAAATAGTTTGTCTGTCTCAGACAAAGGCTGTGACTTAATGGAGCAAAATAGAATAGGTGAACTGCTCTTCTTCTGTTCAGCCTAAAACACTACTATATTCAATTTTTTTTTCTTTTTTTTTTCCTGCAACAGGGTGGGCTACCTAGCAGGATGTCTGGTTCGTGCACTGAAGGAGAGACAACCAGAACTAGATATAACCCAGCGAGATATCCTCTGTGTAGAAATTGCTGGGCTTTGTCATGATTTGGGTAAGCAGCACTTGAGATGGCTTGTTGCTCTTTGAAAGCTAACCCGGGTGAAAAGCTGGCTGCGAGATCAGAACGTGAGAGCTGTTTTGGGCTGCTTAGTGTGTGGCCATATTCCGAGACAGGATTTATCTGTTCCTGTTTGGTTCGGAGTAGGTCTGCAGAGGCAACTCCACTTGGTGAATCTGTAGCCACCCTTAGCTGTTTTTTGTCTTGTTTCCATATGGTGTTTAGAGTTCTGCCATTAGTGGCTGAAGTCTCCGCTTCCTTCTGTGATGTCCTCAGGTCTCTCAAAACTTTTCAGAGCGAAAATTAGTGGCCCTTTCAAAAATTGTTATAATTATTTTATAACTAACTTTCTTCAGAGCTGGCACCGAGTAATTAATGTTCTCAGTGTTACTGCAGTACTTGCCTGTGGTGTAGGTAATGGAACTGGCTATGTGAAGTGCAGTAGTACTTAAGGTGTCTTAGGAAAGTGTACTCACTATAGCTGAATCTTCCTCATAGATGATGTCAAGATCAAGTCAAATACAAGAGAATCCAGATCCTTAGCTTGCTCAAAATATTTTTACTGACAACCGTGTCTCAGATTAAACCTGTGTAATCTCTATTTTTAAGGTCATGGGCCATTTTCACACATGTTTGATGGAAGATTTATTCCACTCGCTCGTCCAGATTTGAAGTGGAAGGTAGGCTTTTCACTATTAAAGGAAAAATAGAAAACTGAAATTTTTAAAGGGAGAATAATTCATCTTTAAAGACTGCCAGTGCTTGTGAGAATATAGTGATCATCTAGCCTTTTCTTATTGCATCATTTTGATGGCATAATTAAAAACCAGAATGTTGTCTCCTAATCTTGTGATGATTTCTTTGTTGTTCTCTTTAACTGTTTGTTTGGGGAATGTAAGCCCCCTCAGCGTGGCTGTGAGCAGATGCAGCCTTACTAGCAAAGCAGAAAGAGGTGTGGGGAGAAGTAAGTGAGGGCAGATGTTTGTCACCTGCGTCTCTTCCCTGAAAGTGCAAATGCTCTTGAACTCCTGTGTACTTTCATGAGATCTGTTTGTGTACGCATGTTCTCTTCCTGCAGATGTCACACTGGGTGACACAGAGGAGAAATGAAATGTCTCAGTCTTGTCAATGCCTGTAAGTGTGACTCTGAAGAGGCAGAATTCATTAGGACTGCACTGATCATTTAAGCCAGCATTGTGCCTTAAAACGCGTATTGCGCGCTTTCTTCAGAATATATTTTACAGATGCAAAATACCAGCTGGGAGCTTCCTTTCCAGTTTAAGATTTTAGGTCAAGGCCAGGATGTTTAATAGTGTTTTGAATTCAAACTTTCAGGAACTTTGAACAGAGTTTCAAGGGTTGTTTGCTGTGAATTAAATGTAACACAGTCCTTTGGGGCCTCTCTCTGCTTGTAATTACTAGGCAAAATCAGCTGAGTAAACTTGTTAATCTTCTGCACAGCAGACTTGGTTATTTTGTGACTGTTTTACTGCTGTTTGTTAAAATACAAAATTAACAGCTCTCTGCTGAAGAGTGTGTTTCTGGACTCTGTAGGCAGGGTGATTTCCTGTTTGGTTAGATACAAAATGAATAGAAAATCACCCAAGTGCTGCACTTTCACACCACCATGCCCAGGTGCCCTGCCAGGCAGTGCTGCTGGGTGAGGAGAAAGCTGTGGCGCTGCAGGAAAGTTGCTTAAACTTTGTAACACAACATTTAGGTGTGTTTTTCTCACAGCATGAAACTGCTTCTGTTAAAATGTTTGAGCACCTGATCGCTTCCAATAAACTAGAAGAAGTCATGAAGTCGTATGGTCTTGTCCTGGAAGAAGATATGAACTTCATCAAGGAACAAATAGGAGGGCCTATAGATGAAACCGCTTGTGAGAAATCGGTGAGTCAGTGTACTGCTCCTGTGGTTATCCCAATAAATGTCTTCAATTTTACTGAAAGGGTAGATAATTTTTGCTTCTGCTATGTTTTATTATTTCTTTTTAGCCCCATGAAATTCTGAGAATCCTGGCACGAGAGATGCTAGAGAAGTGCAGTGTTTATTTCTTACAGTGCTGGCAGGAGGTGGTAGCTTCACTATGTTATGTGCTTACATCTTCCTGAGAAGTTCTTACCTCAAAGTTTTCAGATTAGAGGAAAGCTTAAGAATGTTATTTGCATTTAGTGAACCTAATTCACTGTAGCTAGATTGGTAGAACTGAATTTTTACTGGAAACCTTAAATGACCAGGTTAGGATAACAGCCTGTTCACTGGATGCCTGAAGGCAGTGGTGATGGGAGGTTGTGTTTTCAGGTGGCCATACAAAGAAAACGTGGAGATAGTTTAGGGTAACAAGCTGATAATGGATAACAAAACTGAGAACTGGCAGAGATGAGGCAATGAGCAATGCAAAGCGTGGCCCAGGTACCAGAGCCGCATCAGCTTTAATGACAGTAGCAAAATGCTTGGATTTATTGCAGTAGCAAACATAGAGGCAGGGATGAGACTTGAAGAAACGTGTTGCCTCAAGAGGCAAGGAGGAAGAGGTCGTGATTATTAATCCTTGCAACTCTGTGGAAGAATTAAGTTCTCTGTCCTCACTTTGCAGCTCTTGTCATCTCTTCAAGGACACCCATTCAGTTGCTACCAGAATTAAGAACCCGTCAGTGGGAGATCTGTCATGACAATCTGGTCCTAATCAGAATTCGTATGTTGTCCCAAGCAAATCACCCACAAATGTTAGCACTTACCCATTATTTTCTGCTATAGCAGTGTGTAGTTCTACCATGTGTACTCCAGCACTCTGATGACAAACACAGGGAACTTAGCATAATAAAATTCAGTCTGAGATCTTACAGGAAGGGGATATTAATTTACAAAGTCTGCAAGTTGATTTTTACCCACTCGCACTCATTTGCACACAAATCTTCCTGCCTGCCACTGCTATTGATCTTGTGCCAGGTTCTTACCCAATGTCTGTTTTTCCTTGTTTGGATTCTATGCCTGTTTTCCAGCAGGATAACATGAAAATTAGTGTCATACATGAATACGTGGCAACCTTCTTGCCACCATCCTGGCTGCAGGATCTTCCACTGGCAGCCATTTGTACTGTGGTGGTCTTACCGGAGTACAGGCTCCTCTGCTGATGAGGCATCTGTGCTGTGATGATACTGCATCGCAGGCCTTCTGGTGGAGGAGGCATGAACAACAGGTTGTTTATGCGTTGAACATAAACAGTGTCCTGAACATTGTCCCAGTGATCAGCACGGGATATTTTTATCTATGATGTGCTCTCTTCCTGCTGCTTACACGTTTCCATTCTTATTCATATCAATTTTAATATTTCTGTAATGCAGATAACATGAAAGCATTTATCTGTTTGTATACAATGTTTTCCGCCTTTAGAATTTCAAGACCACTTTATGGCATTTTTTGTTTAGCTGAAAAATCATTAAATTTTCAAGAAAATAATGTTTATGTGCAACTTGTATCATTATTTTGGCGTTGATTTCCTGTTTGCTTCATGGCTGAATTATCCCTTGTGGGTTAGGAGTTTAAGTAGCTGGCTTTTTAAACAATTTTTGTTTAAAACAATTGTTTTAAACAATTTTTTGTTTAAAACATCTAAATAAATATTTTAAATTATTTTAAATCTCT